TACAGCAAATATGGGGGGGGGCAAAAAAAAAAAACAAAAACAGCAAGGAGGACAAGTTATGTGTGTGGACCAACACGAAGGAAACAAAGATTTGAGGGGGGAACAAGAAGATCATAGAAGACACAAAAGTTTCTGAGGCTTGGAAAAGTGAATTTGGAAGAAGAAAACAAAGAAGACAAACCATTTGTGAGAGGGAAGGAGAAACTGCCACTCACAGAAGCATGACTTCTGTTAATCCTTGGTGGAACTCGCCAGGACTCTGAATATTTGGTACCAGCACTTGGCTGTGAGTAAAGGGGTAAATGGCAAGCACCTTAAGTAGACTGGCTTTTATCCTGATCAAAGTATATTTTTCAGTCAGTTCTCTAAGGTGAAAGAGAGGTTTGCAAAAACAATTGTGATTAAATTCAGGAAGTCACAGCATTAATGGGAGGATGAAACTGGAAAGCAGCCATCTACCTGGGAGCATTCAAAGGGGCAGAGACTTTCCTCCCAGCTCCTCTGACTTGTTCCTGGCTTGGATAATCCTGGGAACTGGCAGGCTATGGAGCAAATGGACAGATGCTTCTAAAAATGATTATTTTTTTTTCTCTGTTACTCTGGGAGTAGCTTTGGTCCTATAGCTTCTGAGTCTATGGACTAAGCCTTTATGACATTGCTATATGTTTCAATAGGGAGGAAAAAATCCCAACCATAATAATATGGACAAGCATAGAAATAGCTGTCAGCACTACACAGAAAGCACCTTACATACACAATTTCATTTCATTCTTGCCAGAATATGATAGCAGGTGTCATTATAATCCCCATTTTACCAATGAGGAAATTGGGAAAAAGAAAAGAAGCAATTTGTCTTCTATGAATTCTTATGGTTTAACTTCACAGCACCAACCCACTGCTTTCTTGTTTAAGTAGAGATTCATAGGCTTCACCCACCTTCTGGCAATCTGACATAAAGCTTTTTCATTGTTGTTGTTGTTTGTTTATTTGTTCATTGAGACAGGGCTTCTCTGTGTAGCTCTGGAGCCTGTCCTGGTACTTGATCTGTAGACCAGGCTGGTCTCAAACACATAGAAAAATTGTCTGCCTCTGCTTCCCCAGTGCTGGGATTAAAGGTGTGCACCACCACCACCTGTTCACATAAAGCTTTTATAAGCCTCATCTGGCCTCTTCAAAGATGGACCATTTCACACCCAGGGTCACCTCCCAGCAGTGACACTAGTTATTCAAAGATAACATCAAATGTGAGCATCTAACTCCTCCTTCCAAAGCACAGATATAGCAACATCTGATCAATACTAGAGTCACACACCTTTAATCCCAGCACTTGGGAGGCAGAGGCAGGCAAATCTCTGTGAGTTAAAGGCCAGCCTGATCTACAGAGCTAGTTCCAGGACAGGCTCCAAAAACAATACAGAGAAACCCTGTCTCAAAAAAAAAACAAAAAAAACAAAAAACAAAAAAAAACAAAACAAAAAAAATACTAGAGTCAGTAAATGATCCCTGGCCTTCCTCACTAAAAAGCAGAATTATGAGGGCACTAAAGACAGATGAGAAAAATCTTAAAGATCAAAACTACTCTGAAAGCTTTGCCCTCTGACCTTTCCATGTTAACTTGAGCCTTTAACACGCCTGTTTTCAAGCTGGGATGTAACTTAGTGGTAGAGCACTTAACCATCACACAGAAGGGCTAGGGCTTCATCCTCAGCTCTGCAAACAAGTGAATAAACGATCCCCTTCCCAATACCGCCTATTTTTTTTCTTCAAGACATTACAAGAACTGTCTGCCTACAGTCCATTGCTGTGTCATTTGGAAATGGTCAGTCCACCAAGAGCACAGGCTTGGTCTCTTCTTTTCAAGGGACCCTTTAAGAAGCTCTCTGGTTTGCCTTGACTTTGCTAAGTGGTCAAAAGCACTCAAGAAAATCTGTCTTTGCTGCAAATCCCAAGGCTGTGGCTCACAGCACAGCTTCATACAAACTTGTCTTCTCTTCACCAACCCTCTGCCAAAAATACTGCCTGAAAAAATGGATTATCTCTTAAATTCCAAACACTTGGTCTCAAAAAAGAAAGGACCAAACATCACAACATCACAACACACACACACACACACACACACACACACACACACACACGAAAGAGAGAGAGAGAGAGAGAGAGCAACCATGTGCTAAATATTTTTTAAAAGGAGGCAGAAGGGGAGGAGGGGAGAAGTTGAGATCAGGATTTTACCAATTACCCTAATCTCAAAACTTAACACCATAAAATAAAGGCCTATGAAGAGAAAGAGAAACTTGGGTGGGGCCCATGGAGACCTGGGGCATATTGAAACACCTGAAACATTTATGAAATGTTTATACTTTTCTTTTCAGGAAAGTATAGTCTATTGCTTTCATTAGATTATTAAAGGAAGCATAAATTCTTTATCTCTCCATTGCCTGATAAGCACTGTAGGGACTCAGTAAGTCTTTGTTAACTATGGATTCCACATCGGCAGAATCAGTGCATAGATGAAAGGGGTGCACACTCCACAATATCTCATTACAGATGGAGAAACTGAGGTTTGAAAGGGGCATACATAATTCGTTTCATAACCTACATGATCCTGAGTACTCTTAAGTATTTACAAACTTATTTTTCATATTTTATCTCATTTTTATCTTTTCTCCATGTATCTTTTTGAGAACAGAAATAATTTTGTTCCTAGTTGGAAGCTGTCAGTGAATCTGGAAGAAATAAACGGTGGGAAAGCCCACCCATATAAACGGCCATTATTACAATGGATCTGAGATAGCTCACACATCATGGCTGCTGTTCCCACATTCTGAGGGTATAATTAACATGGCATCGAAATGGCTGTTAGAGGTGAGTGCATGAGGCAAACATTGTGAAATCAGATTTGGGAGAAGTGCTAAAATTTAAGTTTCAAACTGACTATAGCAAATAACTATCCCATTAGCAGGTGACCTTCAGAATTAACAGAAGGAGAGAGAGAGAGAGAGAGAGAGAGAGAGAGAGAGAGAGAGAGAGAGAGAGAAGGAAAAAGGAAAAGAAAGGTCTGTGAGATGACTCAGCAGATAAAGGAGCTGAGTGTGATTGCTGAAACCCACATGGTGGAAGAGAACTGACTCCAGCAAGTTGCCCTCTGACCTATGCACATGAGTTGTAACATGCCTTTACCCCCACACACACACACACACTATTAAAATAAGTAAATGCAAAACAGAGAAGAAAAGAATAAGAAAGAACAAACCATAGGCACAAGAATCTCACACACACACACACCCCCATTGGTGAGAAGCCTTCCAGGAGAATTCAAACCAAGCTCCTACTATGTTACCAGATCACAATGTAGCCATCAGGCAAGAGATACTAACTAACGCTCTCTGTTGCTGAAGAGAGAAGAAAAGTGAGAAGGAGGGCATCCATCTCATCAAGTTCCTTCCTGCCGGCAGAGGCTTTGGAAATGGCCAATGCTGGGATTCTATGGCACAGCAACTTTCTTCCTCAGAACCTCAAAGTAGCAAAGAAGGGAGGGGGCAGTGCCTAACCTTCTATCCGTGCCCTCAGTATGTTCCTAGCTAGAGAGACTTGCTATAAACACTTCCTTGAAAATTTACCTCCTTAATGCAACTTAAGGAAAGAAATTTTGGGAAAGGAATCTGTTGTGACAGCCTGCATTGTGTTTATGAATAATCTCTATGGCTTGGTAGAGATAGGCAATAGTTAGTGACTAATAAATGAACCAGAGTAGACCATGTGGGCTGGAGCCCCGGCTAAGTGACCTAGGTAAAATTACATAAGCCACTTGTTTCTTGACTTATAGAATGGAGAGATTGGCATGGATGTTTTCATTATATGAGACCTTCCAGCTTTTACATACCATAAACTATATCTACATTTGAAGTTTAACCCATCAATGGATTCCCCATCATCATTAAAACAGAATAACCTACAGGCAAGAAAACCATGTCTCCCTGGTATTGCACTCTTAACTGTCCTCACAGGACATCTAGAATATCAATTAAAGGGGAAACTGGGTTGATCTTAACTTCTTAGAATTACTATAACCTATTTCCCAATGGCAGATTCTGGGAAATTCAGGTCCTTATATGTAAAACGGGGGATTCAAAAAAAGGCCTAGCCAGCAATTTGACAGCTTTACCCTCACTTTACATGGTGGGATTTGCAGAAGATTCCAGTCAACTTGCTTTTTACTCAAGTCCTACTCTCAAATTATAAAAAAAAAAAAATTAAAAATCCTATGACCATCATTGAATTAATATAGCAAATAAGGCTGCAACTTAACAATCTGAAAGTTTCTTCAGCTCAATATGGGTCTATTCTTTCAGTATCCCTCTGAGACTAAAGGCAGCTTCATGGTTGGGCTCGTGTAACACCCAACAAATTTTCCCTTCCTCACCATCCTACTAGCCCTGAATTCCAGTTTCCTTCACGCTTTGAACTAAATCCTCCAGTAAGAATGAAAGTATGACTCTGAAGCCCAGAAAGACAGCTAAGCTAAAGTTTAGAAGTAAGGGGATTTTTTGGTTGCTTTTCCCCTCCCTACCACCAAGGAATCATTAGCCCAAAAATTTTTCTATCCACCCTAAGCTGAGCTCCACTGAGTGTCACTTATCTTATCCGTACCTTTGAAGAAACTGACTCCTCTCCCCCTTTGATTAGATGGCCTAAAACAGCTTAGGAGATGGAAGGAAAGATAAAGTTGTAGGCCTCACTGAATAAAAGCCATTGTCCCTCAGAACTGTTGGTTGTAGAAGCTTCCAAACACACCCAAGTCCTGCTTCCAGGGATTAGAACTAAGTTTGCCTCTTTGCTACTATCTTTTTGTTTACCATCTATGATGGATGCATTTCTTGGAGGACTGTTTCCAAATACTGGTGCCCTAGTTGCTGCCTTCTCTCTGTGGAAGGGTACATGTGGAAGCCTTGAGGCTCCCCCAGGGAGGGCCATGCATGGGTTGGCATCTCTCCACTCACCTAGGACTCCTGAGATCCTTCATTCAGGTGTTTCAGCTTCCATAAGCTCTGAGACTGCCTCCCTTGGGTGGTCACCCCTCAAGCCACCACTCAGTATCAGGTCAGGTTTGACCACCTAGAAATGTAACAAGATGGGCAAGATTACTTGGCTGCTTTGGAAGAAAGTGTGAGACATTGCACTGGGGTATATTGCAGGTAGTCAAGGCATGGGAGGCTGGTGGAAAGGGAGAGAGGAGACCAAAAGCAGAGGGTGGTGCTGGTTCAAGAGCACAGCTTTTCAGAGATGGCCAGTACCTCTTGCTTTTAAGAGGTCCCCGAGATAATCGGACACTGCAGGAAGTACTTTTGAAATCAGGCTCTGCCTTTGCCTTTTCCTGGAGACAGGCAAAGCAGAGCAACTCATGGCAAACACACCCCTCAACCGAAGACAGAAGGGACAACACAAGGTGTATCAGGGAGCTTTTGAAATGAGGTGGGGTGAGAGGCAGAACAGTAAAGACCACAGCAGGTAAAGTGAGCCCAAAATGAGGCAGCTAAGCCTGGTTTGGGCCACTTTCCTCTTCTTACCCCTCTACCTCGCTCCTAGGGAGTAGGTTGGGACCAGAGGCTGCCTGCTCTTCTATAGGCCCCTCAGGGGTTGGCAACAGATGCAAGTACCTAGAAGTTTCCATCAGGTCCCTGACTCACTAGATGAGGGCTTATGTATAATGACTAAAATGATTATGCCCCCCCACTTTTGCACATCTCCCTCAACGTGGTAAACAGAGTTCAGAGGGGGAAATAGTCTTCCACTGTCCTCGAGCTGATGTAATCACCATACGAAGGATTGGAAAGATGCAGCAAGTCACTGATTTTCACTTATTGAGGAGAAAGGGGGGAGGAATCTTTTCACCTGCCCTCCCCGGATTGAGAGACCCTCCCTCTTTCACAGACTCCTAGCAGGACCCAAAATGAGCAACCTCAGCTCTGCAGCTGCTAGGCAGCAGCGGCGGTGGCTGCGGCTTTCAGACAGCAACAGTTGTCTGGCTGAGGCAAGGCGAGGCGAGGACTCGCTGCAGCACGACGCCTTCTGCGGGGTGCTCTAGGGCCCTGGAACTCCGGTCCCAAGTGTAGCCCGGGTGGGAGAAATGGGGGTACTGGGGACGCAGGAACTCCAAACAGCCTCTGCTCAGGTTATTCAAAACCTTTATGCAAGTTCACTTCTCTAAGGTCACCTCGCTCCCAAACCTGGTGAATGGTCAGGTTTTGGAGAGGGGAGGGCTTCCTGGCTAGGGGTAGGAGGTGGGATACAGTAAGCAAAAGACAAAAGAGTAGCTGAAAGGACACAGTGTGAAGCTATTTTTAATCTAACGTGGTTCTTCTGCTTATTCCACCAAAGAGCTATCGCTCCACAGACGGCCCCAAGTGAGAAGCAGGAAGAAAATCCCCCACAGCTTTTGCTCCCTCCCCACTGCCTATCCAGATTTTTGAGACCCTTTTACTCTTTCAGAAAATGCATTCAGGGAAGGAAAAGGTCCTTTATCTGGGGAGGAAGACTCTGATTTAGTCCTGGAGCCTGTAGTCCTCACATTGTGCCTTCTCACGTACTGAGCTAATACCATCTGCCTCTGTCCTGCATTCTCAGCATCCCTGAGCCATTCCCTTTTTTTTCAGGAGAGGGTAGAGAGGGTAAAGTCTGGGTTATTAACTACTGAACTCAGAAATGATGGTGCACAGAGTTTGTTGAAAGCAGAAAGGTTAGGATGCAGGGGAATTCAGGCCCTCCCCGAAAATGGGTAGCTTCGTAGGCCTGGGGTCATGGACTATCGCATCCCCTAGACCATTCTCTATGTACTTTTCATCTCCATGGGCACATGAATGTGTCTGTGTGTCCTTCTGGCCAAGTCCCTAAGGGCAAGGGCGTCTAGCAGTGTTTCTAGCTAGCGAAGGGCACGGGGCACAAAACGTGCTGAAGGCCTGATTTGTGCCACTTGTAACCGAAGTGGTCACGACTGCAAAGAGTGGAGGGGGAGGGGGGCCCATGGGCTCTCCCCTCTGCAGCTTGCCTCCCTACCCAGGTCCTGGCGCCTGGAGAGGCCAGCATGGGGCTGCTAAGACCGCCACTGCTAAACAACCGCAGCTCCCAGAGGCTCTTTCCCCGCGGGGTTTTCCCTAGTTTCCGCCTGTTTTGTCCTCTTCTGAGCTACTTAGTTTTGAAAAAGAGGAGATGGGTGGGTACTGAAGCCTGAAACATGCCTGAAATTAGGTTGGAAGAGGGTTCAGGAGGAAGGCTCCGGGGAGCGGGCGGTGCCTGGGTGTTTCCCCCTTTTTCGGAGCTACCGGATTCACGGAGGTGCATCTCACCTCCTCCAGGTTCCGCGCATCCTAACAGAGGATGCTTAGGGCCTACCGCCCCTCCCTCAAGGGCTTCCCCTCCCCCCCCATATTGCAGACTACAATCCTTAGGGTCAAAAATGACCGTAAAATGTCCTAAACTGATTCATATTCCAGGTACTGACTTGGCCCTATTGCCATGCTCCCCCCCACTTTTTATTGTGTGAGTGGGGATATTTGGGATATGGGGGAACGACACAACTTCTGTAAACTTTTATTACATTTTAGCTTCTTCTCACTTCTTCGAAAACACACGCACGCCACCCTCTCCAATTTCCCCTGTGATACAAAGTCGATTAAAAAGTTGGGGGTGGGGGACACGCCACGGGAAGGCGAGTGACCAAAGCCTCGCTCGCTCGCGAAGCGCGGAAAGGACAGGAGGGAAAGAGCTGATTCTTCCATGGAAAACGGGGAGAAGGACTGGGGAACTCTCGGATGGAACCGCTTCGGGAAGGTGCCGGCTTCGGCGGTCACTGGTAGCTGCAGTCCTGTCGCCGAGCGCGCCCTCCGCGAATGCTTTTTGGGGTAAGGGCTTCCGGCTTTTGAGTTATGTACAGCAAGCCCAGACCGCAAAAAGATTCGCGAAGGGCAGTCTACCCGCTTCTTCGGTCCGCCGCCGCCGCCGCCGCCGTGCCGCCGCCGCCTTCAGCCAAGCACGTCTCCGAACCCCGAAGCCGAGGAGGCTGGATCTACCCAGAGCGCTGCTCTACGGCTCAACCTCCCCACCCAGCGCGCCGCGCTCTCTTCCTCGCGTCCCCAGACCCATCCCGCTCTCTCTCTCCAGGCAGTCCGAGAGCCTCCGACTCAACCCTGCACAACCTGAAAGAGGTAGTGGAGGGCAAGAAGGGTAGCTCGGAGGGGGATCCCAGATTCCCGAGCCCAGCCTCCACCCCTCTCGCCCCAGCATCCGAGCCTCCGACCCTATCTAGTCTAACACCCAATTCCCATAATCAGCGTTCTGCCAGCCCTGGCTGCAAGGTCGTGGATCTCTAAACAGGTACGGTCCAGATTTCCCCCGAATCCCCTCCTATCCTTCCTAGTCCCCCAGCAGAGGCTCCAGCCGTGACTACAGGCGCTGCGTAAAGAGAAAAACTCCCCCAGAGCACTAAATAAATACAGACAAGGCCGCCAGCTCATTGGTGTGGACTAAAATCGTCACCCACCAATCAGAAGAGAGCTCACATTTCTTTTTTTTTTTCCAGAAGGGGGAGGGAGAAAAATATTTCCATTTCTAATTATTCAACAAAACCTAGACTAGAACACATTAAAATATTGTTGTTGCAAAAACTGTCCATGATTCCCTCCCATTCTAGCCCAGGTGAGGGGGTGGCAGTGTATATTGGGAAAGAGGGATTCAAGAGAGCGACCTCTTCCATCGGGATCTAAGCCAGAAGAACCAGACGGAAAATGACTGGCAAAGATGAACATAAAATGAGCTCAAATCCCACTCTAGTTGGCCTATTTCTAGAAAATGAGATTTTTCTGGAGTCCCCATACCCCACTCTGCCCCCCAAAAGTTCTGAATGTCCACTAAGAAGGGTGAAGCTCTTCCCTCTGCACGACCTCCCCCTACCCCCCGCCCAGAAACCCGTCCAGATTATGGTGTGTAATGGCCCATTTGCCTCAGGTGCCCTTTCCTTGCTGCATTATCCCCCCCCCCCAGTCTGTAAAATGTTGGGGGAACAAGTAGGGGTGAGCTGGACATTGAGTGCTACAGCGATAAGAGATTCCAGCATCTGTAAGAGGGAGGGGAAGAGAGACTGGGGAGGAAGGAGGGGGCACAGTCTCTCCTCTTCCCCCTTTCTTTCCTTCCCCTCCCCCATTCCATCTATCCTAACTTTGAGCGGATGCTCTTTTTAACAGTGAAGCGCCACCCCAATTCCCAGTCCCCTCTTGCCTAGCCCAGGAATACCAAAGAAGGATGTGATCAAATAAATGTCTGTCTCTCTCCACGGCGGTATAGGGAAAACCTAAGACTGGGTGGTTACTGCAAACATTCCAAGAACTTGGGTGCAAAAGTTTTTTGATTTTTTTTTTTTTTTTTTTTTTTTTTTTTTTTTTGCCACCCGGGAATCGACCTACACACACACACACACACACACACACACACACACACACACACACACACACACACACACACACACACACGCCCTTGGCCCATCACATCCACAGGATGCATCTTGGTCTCCCAAGTTCCTGTCGGCCTACCCACTCCGCCCATCCATCACCCTCCTACATTTCTGCGACCCACCCACCCTCCCACTGCATCCCCTTCGCTTGGCTCAGCTACGGAAAGACGCAAGCACACACCCTCCCAGCGTCTGCACGCCACGCCAGAGGGGGCTCCATAGTCTGTGCCTGCAACTGGCTTGGCGCTGGGCAATTGGGGAAAAAAGTTCTGATCCGCCGACCATTGAGCCTACCGACCACCAGGCGGCCAGCGCGGCAGATCCTTTCTCCTTACCTGAGTACAGGAGTCTTGGGAGTGCTTTGATTCGGTGTGCGCTTCAGCAGTCTGGACGCAGCCCTCTCTGGTCAGCCCGCTCCCCTCCTGCCCCTCCCCTCCCCACTCCCCGGGTGTTTGCCCAGCGGCAAAGCGGGCTCTTCCAGGTAAGTATATAAGTTACTGTACTGTGTGGGAGGGTCACGATCTTGGTAATTGCAGCTTCCCGAGCTTAACCCCTGAGCTCCTGCCTCCCTCCAACTTGTTGAGGACTCGTCGGGGGAGCGGGAGAGGCAAGCTAGCG